GGTTGTTTCTCATAGCTGTGGAGGAGTTGGTTGGGCTCTCCTCTGTTCAGGAGGTTTGTTTTTCCAGCTATGGGTTTTCTCCATTTTTGCCGGGTCATCTCAGAATGGGGGGAATTGGACTTGATTGAGACATCATCGTCCCTTCGGTGGATTTTTCCGTTCCCAAATCAGGATTCTCTGTTCCAAATCGAATCTCTAGTTCATCCTTGATCTACTGGGGTTGAATCGGTTCATTCCTTCCTCCTTTCAGATGACCATCAGATCTCTGTTTCACATAAGGATGATGCACCAGCAGGCCCAAGAGCTTGAATATATTAATATTCTAATTTTGTATAGCTTTAAATTTCTCCATTCCTTTGTGGAAAATTTAGATTAAGCCATAATCTACATATTAGACAAAAATTTTAACTTTTTTTGCAGAGTTGTTAGTGGATCAAGAGATGCTACACTCAGAGTATGGGATGTTAATTCAGGTGCCTGTGAACATGTACTTGTTGGACATGTGGCAGCCGTTCGATGTGTGCAGTACAATGGTCGCCTCGTTGTGTCTGGGGCTTATGATTATATGGTTAAAGTCTGGAATGCTGATCGAGAAGAATGTTTACATACTCTTCAGGGTCACACCAATAGAGTCTACTCTTTGCAGGTATAACAGGGGCTTACCAAGTCTCCCTTGAAAGTTCTATAAATATCTGTGCTTAATGCGATGCTTTCATAAAGTTTTGAACTATAAAGTTTTATGAATATTTTGACCTCTTTAGTAAGAGATGGTAACTTAAATTTCAGCCCATAATTTTGTCTAATCCAAAAGTTTGATGGTATCCATGTTGTGAGTGGGTCTCTTGACACGAGCATCAGGGTTTGGGACGTTGAGACAGGTCAGTGCCGCCACACGTTGATGGGCCACCAGAGTCTTACGTCGGGTATGGAACTCAAGAACAACATACTCATATCTGGAAATGCTGATTCCACTGTTAAGGTTTGGGACATTGTTACTGGACAGTGTCTACAAACGCTCTCAGGTGAGTGGGGGCAATACGTCCCACATATTTATGAAGTTCTAATTAAAATATTGTACCTCATGTTTGTTTTTCTTTACGATTATTTTCATAGCAGGTGTTACATTTCACAAATACATCGTATTAATTTAAACTTAAAAATACTTTAGTGTCAGCAAGAAAATTATTGGTTATTGAAATTTAGCAATATTAATAACTACCGGTATTTTTCTCTCATTTCTTTGAAAGCTCATAAAAAAAGTCTCATTGAATTGGCTTGAAAACTTGTTCAGCTGCGATGGCTATGATATTATTGATATCTTGTACGATATCAATAATGTTTATTCCCAATCTTAAGTTTTCTCTGAGATTATGCCTCTCCATCCTATGAAAGTCATCAATTGGATTATAATAATGAGTATGAAAATATATATTTTTGCTGCTATAATAAAATTAGATTTTCAAAATAATTTTTTTTTCAGGTCCTAACAAGCATCGTTCAGCAGTGACATGTCTTCAGTTTAACAACAAATTTGTTGTAACCTCTTCAGATGATGGAACTGTCAAGTTATGGGATGTGCGTACTGGGGAATTCCTCAGAAACTTAGTGGCTTTAGAATCTGGGGGATCAGGGGGAGTGGTGTGGCGAATACGTGCATCAGATACAAAATTAGTATGTGCTGTTGGCAGCAGGAATGGGACAGAAGAGACTAAGTTACTCGTGTTGGACTTCGATGTTTATGAGAACCTCAAGTGATACATGTGGACATTAGTATTAAATGGTGTCCTCTCCATGTATACTTACAAAGTTCAAAGTGATGTTATTTTAACTGTGCTGCCATGTAACCTCTTGATTAGTTTCTATGACGTGTCAGTTGGACAGTGTTTGTGATGACTAACATTTTTCTGGTGCTAATATTGTACACACACGATCATCTGACACTCACCGCCATTGCCATCTGCTACACTCCTCCACTTGGCAGACTGTAAATTTTTCACTGTCATTTTCTGTATTTGTAAAACTTGTCAAGTAAACTAACTGGTTAGTTTGTCAGTGCCCCAGTTTAGCACTTCATTGAACTGTGTTTTTTTATTATGCCATGTTTGCAGTATAGCATACTGCATTTCCTAAGAAAAGCGTTGGAAGAACTCACCAGAACACATGTACTCTATCAAAATATAAATATTTCATAATTTTCATAAACAGGGGATTGAAATTTGTTTGTTGAAAATTAGGTAATTGGGAGAATATGGGCAAAAGAGATCTGGTGAGGAGAGTAAATGCACGTGTTTGGATGTGGTGTTGAGAATGATAATGGGTGTGGCACTAATAATGTCCAGTTCCACTTGCTGACTGTGGTATATTGCTCATTGTATGGGTATCTGAGGTGGTCGGGGGTAAATGATGGTAAAATACCAACTAATGAAGGAATTGCAATATTTTTAGCAAGTCAGTAAAAAGTGGCTTTAGTATGTGTTGGAGTTTCATAAAAGCATAGGGATGATACTAAGTAAAAGAATTGCCAAAAATGAGTTATATCTTGAGGAAACCTGATGTAAGAAGGTTAACTCATTTATGTATATTTTTTACTTGTTCTTTTGTGGATTGTGGGAGGGAGATGGTGAGAGGAATTGTACGGGTAACAATTAGAAGCTGGTTAATGTTTTGGGTCCTTTGTTGTCCCTCTGGTCAGATTTAGACCAGCTAACTAGCTTTCAGAATAAAACTCTCACATCATTAACTTGTTTATAATAGTCATGGAACTATAAATTATTTCCATTAAGTGATGATTAGTCTGTGTTGGCATAATTTGTATGATATAGCAATGACATTTACGGAATTACAATTTGTGTATTCTCTTGATTTTGTTCTTAGCTAAGTTTTTCTAGGTGTAATGTGAGAGATTTTTTGATAATAAAATATCATAGACCATAACAAAGCCCTTTACAGTGGTTTATAATTTTCTTGACTTGGAAAGCTGTGAAAACAAAAAAGTGTGTTGTGGTGTGCACGTTTTGTTTGCTGGGAATGTCTCGAGCCGTTTATTCCAGAATTGCTTTATGATAAGCAATGTTGCAATTATCTATTACAGTAATCCTAAATATTTTCTGAAGGGCACTTATGTTTTTTAATTATAAAGGTTATTTAAAGCTCTAGTCTTAGGTTCATATTTTGTTAGTGTTCACATAGTTTTTATTGTGAAAAGACCGTGAAGACCATTGAGAAAACATGTTAGGTAAGTGTGGCTTACAAGTGGTATTGCAGTTTGGTGTCGTTGCTGTTCAACATGCCATTACAGCTGCTAGTGGGGTTTGCCTCGGTACTGTGCAGAATGTCATTACAACTTGGTGTGCCTTGTCGTTTCTCATTGCTGTTCACGATCACAATGCACTTATCAATCTGGCAATAACAATTTTCTCCTACAAATCTATTCCATTCAATGCTAAATCTGATTTCTTTGTGATCACTGTTCTCTAGCTCACTCCCCATTTCAATATCATTAATTTGCATTTCCCTGTTAGTTAACACTAAAATATTTTCACGTTAGCTCCTTAATGTGTTGCATAAGGAAGCAATCATCAATTTTAGAAAATCTTCTGCTTCATTATTCCCCGTTCTGTTAAGCCAGTTTATTCCACTAAAATTAAAGTCACCCATGACACACTGTTTGACCTAGATGCTCTTGATATTTCATCCCATAGATGGTTTTCCATTCTGTCTCCCCACCATCTTGTGATAAGGGGCTCACGTACACCTCCCTGGGACTGGTGAGGGTTGCCTTCACCCCATCTCCTACCCCTCTTTGGGGGTTGTACGTACAAAAGGACACCACCGTAGGGTCCTTGCGCGTCACCGGACCACCTGCTGGAGGGGCCACCCGTGAGTGGATGGTTGGGTGTCCAGGCTCGGGAGAATGGAGTTTTTGCACCAGTGTGGGAGAATGGACGAAGCAGTAGGACTTCCCTGTTAAAAAGTGGGAGCACTGCTGGGGACGACACACCCCTTCCTGCACTGGCCCGTGCCTGGCTGCCATGGTAGGTGGAGGGTGGGTATGCTTGGTTTCGGGCCCCAAACTTAAAATTGATGCTGTATGGAAACTGAACTGACCTGTCTTACCCAGGCTCGTGGGGTGGGCGACCAGGCCCCTCCCCCCGAGTCAGACTGATGGAAGATCAGTCTGATCTTTAATTTACTTCTTTGATGGAAAGTTTTTTGAGCACCCGCTCACAGTATGAGTATCAGGTGCACAATAAACTCCTGCTTACAGGATGTTTGACTTTAAGGAAAAGGAGGTAGTGATTCATTTGTATAACTGGTGCGCCCCCACTTGGATTACTGTATCCAAACATTGAGAGTACATCTTCAGAAGAACACACCTTCTCCAAAAGAGCTATAACACCAGGTAACACAAATTGTTCCAGAGCCAAGTCAACTCCCGGTTGAGGGCCACAGGGCAGAGCAGGCTTGACGGCAGATCTCTTATTAACTTTAAATATTGAACAATTTGTTAGATGTTCATCTGAAAAATTACTTCAAAAGTTCAGATGTAACAGAGCAACGATTTAAAGTTCAATTCACAATATGGGACCGAGAACAGATGCTTTTTCACCCACAGGGTTATAAATCCATGGAACCGTGCCAAAACAGTTAAAGTACAGCTGGAAAAGATCAATATAAAGAGGGGGGGGGGTCTTCAACAAGCCGCCGGCTTTCTGTCTTCGTCTAAGCCACTCGTGTTAGTGACTGATAAATTCAAGAATATAGGGTGCACAATAAACTACCGCTCATAGGACGAGTATGGGATGCAGAATAAACTATTGCTCACAGGATGAGTATTGGGTGCACAATAAATTGTCGCTCACAGGGTGAGTAGGGGTGCACAAACTTTCTTACAAGGATGAGCATGGGGTGCACAATAAACTATCGCTCGCAAGACAAGTAGAACTCAAAACGTTCTACAGGTAAAATAAGGTTCTAGCCAACAACGAAAATTGAATAGTCATTAAATAGCCTTGCAATTAAGACTAATGCGTGTTGGGAACATCAGAAATTCATTGACCAATAGAATTTACATAGACGACATCAAGGAAACAGATTCAGGAGCTGGAGGTACTTTGAATCAAGAGAGAACGTGAACCAAGTTATTACTCTTATCTACAAACCTACAGATAGTTGAAACGATTGGGGAATTCAGAGAATATGTAAATAAAATAAATTTACCTAAATAATGAAGGAAGAACATGTAGTGTACATAGCCTTCCTTGGAGAGACTAAACTACCCAGTTAGGGAACAATACATCAGGGAACCAAACTAGAGAAAGCACAGATCAGAGGTGTTCCAAGACTGCGAACAAATTAAAAAAAAAAAAAGTTAATGCAGTCAAATTAAGTCTTTGATTTTTACGAACAAGAAAGAAATAGGCAGACACCACACACACTACATGCGACACTACACGTTACGGCCAGCTTGGGCCAGTAATCAGGTTCTTTTCTGTTAGCGGTCATATCCGGTCATATCCCCCACTTCCTTATCCTACCCAAAGTCGATGGTAAGTTTAAGAATTGGCGGTAGCCAGTAACAATGCAAGGAATAAGGGTGGGGAGATAAACAATACTCTATTACACTTCCACTAATATATTATCACCTTCAATATATTTTATCCAAGTATTACTAAACATATTTACACTGTCGCTTTCACTCGGGACAGTAGTCAGCAGTGTTCATCAAGTCCCAGCAAATCCACTACCTCCAGGTACACATCGTCCACGCTTAATGGTAATCACTAGCAAGTTTACCTTCCTCAATATGAGCCAGTCCACACATCGTATCGTCACTGTCCCAATACCCCACATCAGCTCTCCAGAAACACACTGGCAGAGGGCTTCAGTCACAAGCTGACGGGGGGGTCTCAATTACGTACAGGGGTAGCTAACATCCTGGCAGAAGTCTCTAACAACACACTAGCAGCACTTCTCAATAGATGCACAACTCGTCCGGTAACTCTTCCTGGCCAATCCCGGATACATCGGTCCATACAACACCACATAAATCCAGCAGCTAACACACTGCTGCTACTACCGACGGCAGCCACTTTGTCCTCTCACATGACCAAGTCAAGAGTTCAGGGCTGTCCAAGGTGAACTGCCCTTCTCAGCACAATCGCCTCCTCCTCTGTGAACATAAAACGTCATTAGCTAGACAAACAGTATACTGGGTGACCTTTAGATAACACCCTTCCACCGGGGAATTGAAATTGTAATTGCTTTCACAACCTAGATGGCGTTGATATCGTTACATCACCCACCAGAGGTCATCATCATCGACCTCACCTTCTAACTGAGGTATAAAGCTGGAGCCTTTCGCCGACGCCACCCCACTGCCAACAGATGGCGTTGTTTTCATCTCACCTAATACTTGGGAGTTGGAGAGCAGGTCCATAGATGGCGTCGAAATCGCCACTCCTCACTCCAGAAGTGGTGTTGATACCGTAACACTACACACTCAGACGCTGTACACACTACACCACACTCAGACACTAAACACTCAGATGTTGTACACTGATCTACACCACACACTCAGACACTAAACACTCAGATGTTGTACACTGATCTACACCACACACTCAGACACTAAACACTCAGATGTTGTACACTCATCTACACCACACACTCAGACACTACACTCTTAGAAACAATGCAGTAACGTCACCACACAACTACAGTGGCACAGGACAAGATCGCTACATTTGCATAGCAATATGTTTACTCTGCTTTATTATGAAGACGACCCCCGCTGTGCAGGCGGCGGCGTGAAGGTTAGTAACACAATGGCTGCACCAACAACACCATATTTTTGGTTCTATGGAATACGCAAATTAACTTTCGTTGTGAACTTGTTACAAAAGTTTTAATTTGCCTAAAATATGTGATTGTGTTACACGGGCAGTGCTGGGTACATCAACAGTATCTCGTAGACTTGAGGCAAAATGAAATTCACACCATGCAGTTACTCCATCTATCATTCTATTATGCAGGAAGAACCGCACGTCTATGAGTCATCCAATAAGGTTAGCAGACTTCTAGATGTTACCACTGCTAGGCTTAGGCTCGGCTACAAGTACCTCTGGCAGTTTGTAACATCTGCTGATGTAGATTAGACTAAATGTAAACTCTGTCAGCAGAACTATTCGCATACTTTGCGTCATTATATAATGGAATGTGAAAAAATCGTGGAATTCAGAGATAACACCATCAATGAAGTTCAAGAAATGTGTAAGTCCTTCATTCATAATAATGTACTGCCAGGAATATTAGCAAAGTATCCAAAGTTTGCTTACTGTAGGTGTAGCCTGCACATGACTGTAAAGCTGCCGCCCAGTTGAGTGGGTGTGGAGCACATGACTGTAAAGCTGCCGCCCAGTTGGGTGGGTGTGGAGCAAGACTAGTAACTGTGTGACTCACCATAGATGTAAAGTGCCTTGTATAGTGACTGTTGTGAGCCTCTTGTTGAATCACTTGAGATACAAAAGATTATCGATGTGTATATGTATTTGTGTAAATGATTATATATATATATATATATATATATATATATATATATATATATATATATATATATATATATATATATATATATATATATATATATATATATATATATATGTCGTACCTTGTAGCCAGAACTCACTTCTCAGCCTACTATTCAAGGCCCGATTTGCCTAATAAGCCAAGTTTTCCTGAATTAATATATTTACTATAATTTTTTTCTTATGAAATGATAAAGCTACCCTTTTCACTATGTATGAGGTCAATTTTTTTTATTGGAGTTAAAATTAACGTAGATATACGACCGAACCTAACCAACCCTACCTAACCTAACCTAACCTATATATATAGGTAAGGTTAGGTTAGGTAGCCAAAAAAAGCTAGGTTAGGTTAGGTTAGGT